TTGATTTATACTTCCAGACTGAAGCATTCTCCATCATCTCTCTCTTCTTCTTCATCTCCTTTGTGTCTCCCTCCCCTCTGTTTTCTCCCACTTGATCGTCTTTCATCTTCTTTTCCACCTCTGATATATTATTTCCTGACCGATTTGTTTCGTGTCCTCAGTGTTGAGTTTGCCATCAGGGACAAGAGAAGGAGGCCAAAAAACAACAACTAGCTTTTGATTTCTGTGATTCTGTGTGATGGATGCTTGAGGGACTTATCTGAAGAACAAAATTAATCCAGGGACTTGTATCACCGTCACCTCGACAAATAACGTTTGATCGGCTGGATATGAAGCAGACAGCAATTTAAAGTTACTAATGATATTTCCTTTCTCTTTGAATCCAGCTCTGTTTTTCAGTGTTTCTTTTTCTTTGACACCTTCAGTCCGTCAGCTGCCTAACCGCTCCACAGTAATGATGAAAAATACGTCTGTGCCTAATCACCTGCTTTTTAAAAACATACAAAGCCACATATCCACAGCAGACAGCCTCTACTCACCTACAAAACGTAATTTTGTAATGAGGAGCTTGATAGCACATCGACATTTAGCCCGAATGTTATCACCATGGAGTTTAATAACGGCACAGCAGATGCCATATCATGCTTGTCTGTGAGCCTCGAGTCTAAAAGCACTCTTCAGCTCTCAATCAAACATTGTGAGCATGTCTGAGTTTGCATTTGTCACGGAGGGACAGGCCTGCTACGTAAGAGTCTTGGGCCCAAAGTGTCAGGGCGGCTCTGGGTAAAATCCATCTTTAATGTTTCTCATTAGAAGGTTAATCAAGCAATAAGACATGCCAGAAATGACCAAAAGTTAAAGACTCTGACAAACTCAACCTAAACTACATAAAAATTATATGAAGAGATTAAATGGCAAAGAGATCAAAATCAACCACAATAAGACATGACGAGAGTCCAAAACTCCTTTTAAGAGAACAATATCATATTTTATATAGATAGTCTTCATTCTTTTTAAACTTACTTTAAGATGTTTGTAGAGAAGTAAAAGTGAGATAATGGAAGCAAGATTTACTTACTTACTTTACTTTCATTAACCAAACTTTTATGAGAGTAGGCAATGGATAATGGGTATTAATTTGTTAATACCTGGACATGAGTAACTTTATTTGATTATATAGAATAGAATAGAATTCAACTTTATTGTCATTGCACATGCACAGGTACAGGGCTACGAAATGCAGTTTGCATCCATCCAGAAGTGCTTTAGTGATATAGATATATTACAATAAATATTAGCAATAATATAGATATGTAAATATATTACAGAAATGGATCTATTATGGTATGTTATAATGTACACGGTATGAAGTATGTTGTGAATATTCTATAACTATAGGTATGTACAGGCTGTAGTGAGTACAAGCTATGTACAGGCTATGAACAGGATATAAATATGAAAAACTATACAGAATATGAAATAAATAACTTTACAGAATCTGAGATATACAGTTATACAGAAATGGGAACTGTGCAAGTTGTAAACAGTTGTAGGGTTAAAAATTATCGTATGTACAGAATGATTATTACAGAGCTATACAGTAGTGCAGTTAAGATAAGTGAGATATGTGGATAATTTCTACAGAGGCTATATAAAGTGCTGGTGGTTGTGAGTGGTGGTTCAGTCCATGTTATTATTGTGTGTTTGAGGGTACAGTTGTCCATTGTGGGTGTGTGTGTATGTTCAGTCCATGTTTTAACGTGGGTCAGATGTCAGGAGGCAGAGTTCAGGAGTCTGACAGCTGTGGGGAAGAAGCTGTTCCGGTACCTGGTGGTCTTAGTCCGGAGGCTCCTGTAGCGCCTCCCAGAGGGCAGGAGGGTGAAGAGTCCATGTGATGGGTGACTGGGATCTTTGATGATTTTCCCAGCCCTTTTCAGACACCGCTTCCTGTAGATGTCTTTTATGGCAGGAAGTGGTGCTCCGGCGATGCGCTGGGCAGTTTTCACGACCCTCTGCAACGCCTTCCGGTCCGAGGCAGAGCAGTTCCCGTACCAGACTGTTATACAGTTGGTCAGGATGCTCTCGATGGTGCAACGATAGAAGTTCACCAGGATGTCTGAGGACAGGTGGTTCTTCCTCAGAGTCCTCAAGAAGAAGAGGCGCTGGTGAGCCTTCTTGACCAGCTTGGAGCAGTTGGTCATCCAGATGAGATCCTTGGAGATGTGGACTCCCAGGAACTTGAAGCTGCTCACACGCTCCACAGCCGTCCCCTTAATGTGGATGGGTGGATGTGGGTCAGCATTCCTCCTGTAGTCCACGATGAGCTCCTTGGTCTTCTCGGTGTTAAGCAGCAGGTTGTTTCTGTCACACCACTCAGCCAGACGATCCACCTCCTCCCTGTAGGCGGCCTCATCGTTGTCACTGATGATAATACTACACCACAGTATATTTCCAAATAACTGGTCAGCTTTTGTTTTTAGTGTTTTAGTGTTGTTTTAGTGACGTTGCAAGAATTTCAACATTACATTGTAACAAGTTCAAAAGTTCAAAACAAGGATTCAAAAGCATCATAGTAAAGTCCAGGTGGAAAGAGACAAAAAGGCTGCAAAAAGGCACAACGTCCTGTTGTATTATCATCATAATCACGCTCAGGTTATCACAACCTCTAAAGCTGCCTATTAGACTGCACACTCTTCAAAGATCTTCAAAGCTGTTCAGTCAAAAAACAAACAAACTTTAGTATCTGAAGCAGCTGTAAAAACAGATTTTTTTTTTCATTTCAGATTTTACACAAATAAAACATAAACACTCATGAAATATGTACAGCTCTTTGGACTGTCACCAAATCTTTTACAGTCCTTTGTGCTTTCTAGAGGACCAACAGAGCCAGCAACAGCTCAAAGTTACTACAACTGCTTTAATACAATTCCCAGATGATGTATCTTACTGATTTTGCTGTTGTCATTGTTGGGTTTTGTAATGCAGAGCACCTTCTGAAACTGTACTACAGATTTTGCAGCTTTAAATACAATACCATCGATACTTTTAAAGTAGAAGGATGACAGTCCACCCACCCACGCTCCCTGAAGCAGGCAGCTGTATGTTCCTCTATGTTCCAGAAACATTGTTGTCATGGTGTTTCTGTTTCACGTTTCAAAATTATACATGCATGACTGTTGTCAATAAACTGATTAACTGGCTGATCATTTCTGCACCATCTTTCTCTTGAGAATAAAGCAAGACGAAGGCCGACTGGGATGGGAGTAAATATCTCTTTTATGAGGGCTGCAAAGCTTCACAGTGAAGCACCGAAACCAGTTTTCTGTCAAACCAGCCAAACTTAATGGGAATTATCCATCTTTGACCCTCCTGCTCCTAATATGCAGCAACAATTTCAGTCTACCTTCGCTGCGCCCGTCCATCTCCAACCATCTCACCCTCCTCCTCTCCCCGCTCTATCTCTGTCTCTTTCTGTCACTTTCCTTCTATTTGTTATGAGCCGGTAATGAGAACATGGCGTGTGGGAGATTGCTCAGTTTATCTCCTTCTACCCAGTTCCTGCTAGTATCATCCAAAACCTTTTTTAGACATTTTCTTATTACATTTATCACAACGTGTGACTGCCAAAGCCCCTGCAGACAATTAAAAAGAACAAATAACCCAAAACAATAAAGGAAGTTCACCGTTAAACATTTTAAAGCCGATGTATATCGGGTAATAAAATGGGCAAGTATGCAAGGTGAACTGCTACTGTCAGCCACAGAGGGAGAAGGAAACACTGTCAAACCTCAGATTCAGCCCACAGGAGTAAGGTGGAGGCAAACCTGCACTTTCCTCCCACACTGTGACAGACAGAAAAATGGAAAAAATTGTTTTAGCTGCAAACTTAATGGAAAATTTGACACCTTTATTTGGGAACAGATACGGTCCAACTGTTGTGTTCGTGCGGTGAAATAGAGCAGACTGGTGAGCTCCACTCAAAAGAAATATTTAAGCTCAAAGATCTGACTTAAAGTAATTTGATTACATTTAAATGTAATCCATGTAATTTTGTTACATAATTGCAACGTGAAATGTTAAAGTTAATGGAATCTGGTCAAATAAGTGTGTTCGATTGGTATACATTCAGTCTATATTTTACTTAGCAAACAATTATTTGACTACATAAACCTTTGATTTAATATATGTGAAATATATGTACACACTGTCTGTGTGTATACAGTACTTCTGCTAAATCAGTGGTTTCAAACTGTGGGGCAGGGTCCTGGAGTGAGACAAGGAGCCACCACAGGTGTAGTTCTATGAGGTGAAGTTGGATGAATGTCATTTTCTTAAGGAAAAATAAGCTGAGCTTTAACCTCCTAGGGCCTGGCGTCCACATATGTGGACATCACATTTTGGGATGTCTGGACGAAAATACTTAATTTTTCTCTACAAGGGCCTGATATCCACTTACGAGGACATTATACTGCCACTGTTCTATCAAGATTTAAAACCAATGTCCTCATATGTGGATCTCATTTGTCTCAGAAATAAAAATTAGGTGATAAAACAAAAAATCTGGTAATTCTTTGTTTTTACATTCATCAGGTCCCAATCAACCCAAATAGCAAAGAAAAAATTTAAATGCATGCCATGAAAGAGTTCGGGTCTTAGGAGGTCAAGTAACTTGAATCTTTGTTTTATTGTTAATGAGTGATAGAAACCGTGGGCTGTGGGACGTGAACTTTTTTCAGCGTCTCTATGCCAAAAAAGTTTTGCTTGTTTACACAGATAAAGCCTGCAAATCAGTGTGCTCCGATAATAGTTTTGATTTATGACTATAAAACTTAAACTCATGTGAAAATCCATCCACTGCTGCACAAAGCCAGGTTTCCTCTCACCAGCCGACCCTAATCTCCTCTGGTACAGACACAAACACTAATATCTACATGAATCACAGAGGTTGTTATCTAATTGTAATGTTCTCCTCATGTCTCTGCTGTTGTCTTTCTCTGTAGGGATCTCAATGCCGATTCCTGTGCTGGGTCTCAGAGACCACTCCAAGGTCTTCAAAGATGGCAGCTGTCTGCTGACAGATAACAATTTCGTGCTGGTCGGCTCCTTCGTGGCCTTCTTTATCCCCCTCACCATCATGGTCGTCACCTATTTCCTGACCATCAACGCCCTGCAGAACGAAGCCACCCTCTGCTTGGACCAGCTGGTCCCACGGCCCAAATGGAGCACTACCTTCACCTTGAGCTTCTTTCCACAAACGTCTTTGTCCTCCGAGAAACTCCTCAGGCGATCGATAAGCCGTGACGCCACAGGCAGAGGGAGCACCGGCGGGCTGGGTGGCGCCCGCGGGAGCATATCTGGCTCTCTCTTTGGGCGCCGCACCATGCAGTCGATCAGCAACGAGCAGAAGGCTTCAAAGGTCCTTGGGGTGGTGTTTTTTCTCTTTGTGGTTATGTGGTGCCCGTTTTTCATCACCAACGTGCTGGTGGTGGTGTGTGAACCTGACGTTTGTGACCCGGGAGTCATGGGAGGTCTGCTGAATGTTTTCGTCTGGGTAGGCTACTTGTCCTCTGCAGTCAACCCACTGGTCTACACATTATTCAATAAGACGTACCGCGCCGCGTTTCTGCGATACGTTCGCTGCCAGTACCAGCCAGAGAAGAAACCTCTTCAGCTTATACTGGTGAACACCATCCCCCCACTGGCTTACAGCTCCACCCAGCTACCTTTGGGAGACATCGGGAAGTTAGGAAATGGAGTGGCGCATTGTAGCAGTGGAGCAAAAGAGTTCTCTTCTCCTGGGCAGGAGATGGAAAAATCCAGGCAGAACAAAAGCCAGGGAGACAAAGACGAGAGCTGTGTGTAAGAAACTGAAACAAAATCCTGGTTAAAGGCCAATCCAGTGCAAGCAATTTCAGTTTCCCCCCTCTGTGGTTACAGTGTAGGGTCTGAGATTTTAAGTGCCAAAGACAATGTGCCTCAAAGTCAGGGGTTCAGAAATACAGAGGTCACTGAAAAAGCAGAAGAAGCCTTTAAATGCTCAACATTTCCACAACAGTTTCCTCAGATTCACACAGCTTCATCAACAGATCAGGTGAACAAGGTCTGTGATTGCTCCTCAAAAATGTTGTAAACAAGCATGTGCATCACAGATCATCATCCCCATCTTCAGGCTCGCTGCTCTTTCAGAATCTTTTGTACACTGCCGCAAAAGACAAAATTACTCTTGACAAACATATCAATTAATTTTTTTTCACCAAACAGTCTTTGAACGTTATCTTCCAGTCTGAGAGCCAAATCAGAGAGATGAAAAGACGGTACCGTCCGTGTGGATGATGTGAAACACAGTTGGGCACATCCCAACAAAACAGTTCTATTTTGTTACAACACTTTGGACAACAAGGGTGAAAAAGTCAGACATTGTTCACATAACTACATTTTCCATGGATGCTCAGCTGCTCTAACCTCAGCTGCCCCTTCATTTTGCCAGCTCCCTGGCATCAGTCATGTGGTGTCTACCTTCTATCATACCTTTGGGTGGATCAGTGGGGATTAGACTGGATTTCCTGCCACCTTATCAGATGATAGTGTTGGGAGGAGGAAGAGCCAGGACGAGCCTAAATACACCAGAACTCCAGACACTTGCAGAGGTCAGATGAAGCTGTCAAAAGGGGAGGAAAAAAAACTTCTGCTGCTTCTGTATTTTATGTTGAAAACAACAAAAGGAAGAATATGTCTGAGGCAGACATTCAGTAATTAGAGAGAATCCATAAATGAATCTATATTTGTATTTTGTGCACATTTGTGAATAAATGTATATGACTGTTGAGGTTAAATAGATTTTATATGCAAATGAGAGGATGATTACTGAAGCTGACATGGTGCAGGATGAGTACAGCAGAGTAGGAGACATTTGATTGGCAGGAAAAAGTGTATTTAAGTGCAGTTGTATCCACTGTAAAGGTCATAGTTTATATTATGTTCAAGCCAAACTATCCGTGCACACTGGCATTTTTATGATGACATTTCCAAAAAAAAAAAAAATGCTTATATACTATCTAGTGTGTTTTGTTTTTTGTTTTTTACTGTTTTTTACTGTTTTTGCTAATATGAGGAGAAGGATGTGAAAGGAGGAAAGTAGCTGGAACAGTGCATCAAGGTGAGCTTGCACCATGGATTTATTGCCAGGAAATATTTGGAGCGGCGTTTCAGACTCAGTCTCAGTGCCTGACACTTGCATGGGCTTGGTCTAAAATTGTAAAAAATCACTGTCTGCACTATGAATGCACACACCAACCTTGTCTCACCCCTAACTCATCACATAGTGATGTTTGGTCTGGACCACATGGATTCCGATTTTGACACCCTGGACAGCCCTTTAATGTTGCTTTTGCAAAGTGCCACCTGGTACGGTTTACCCAGAGTCCATCAATGTATGGATCAGGCAATAATGAGCCTGAAGGTAAAAGTAATCCTGTGGTGTTTAGTCCATTTAAATCCAACTGAAAATGAAGATAAGATGGTGCACCCACTATTAGAATTAGAGTAGAAGAAGTTTCTGACCAAGCATCACTATGTAAGGAGTAAGGAATCAGTTTAAGGTGCCCTGTGGAGTTGTGTTTAAAACAAACACCAATTATGTTCAGCAGTTCTTACCAAACCCACTGTGTTTATGAGCTTGTTTCAAAGAGGCCAGAATGACACAGTATTAGCAGAACCCAACTTTTCAGTTAGTGCAGGTTCCAATGAGCCTCAGCAGCAGTCACTGTGAGAGCTAAATAATTTCACCTACTGGTTAAAAACCTAGAATATGGGAACTCCCACTGATAGCACGACCATCAGTGTCGTATTACATAGTTATGTATTACTTTACCATGAGCCAAAATCTTTCCAGGGTACCTTTAAGTGAGTCACTGTCTTTTAATACTGCACCCAACATCCCACCAAAAGTCACTAACCAAGTGTAAGGAAAGGACAAAAGGAAAGTAAATACAGTGGGGTAAAAAAGTATTTAGTCAGCCACCAATTGTGCAAGTTCCCCCACTTAAAATGATGACAGAGGTCAGTAATTTGCACCAGAGGTACACTTCAACTGTGAGAGACAGAATGTGAAAAAAAAAATCCATGAATCCACATGGTAGGATTTGTAAAGAATTTATTCGTAAATCAGGGTGGAAAATAAGTATTTGGTCAATAACAAAAATACAACTCAATACTTTGTAACATAACCTTTGTTGGCAATAACAGAGGTCAAACGTTTACTATAGGTCTTTACCAGGTTTGCACACACAGTAGCTGGTATTTTGGCCCATTCCTCCATGCAGATCTTCTCGAGAGCAGTGATGTTTTGGGGCTGTCGCCGAGCAACACGGACTTTCAACTCCCGCCACAGATTTTCTATGGGGTTGAGGTCTGGAGACTGGCTAGGCCACTCCAGGACTTTCAAATGCTTCTTACGGAGCCACTCCTTTGTTGCCCGGGCGGTGTGTTTCGGATCATTGTCATGTTGGAAGACCCAGCCTCGTTTCATCTTCAAAGTTCTCACTGATGGAAGGAGGTTTTGGCTCAAAATCTCACGATACATGGCCCCATTCATTCTGTCCTTAACACGGATCAGTCGTCCTGTCCCCTTGGCAGAAAAACAGCCCCATAGCATGATGTTTCCACCCCCATGCTTCACAGTAGGTATGGTGTTCTTGGGATGCAACTCAGTATTCGTCTTCCTCCAAACACGATGAGTTTAGTTTATACCAAAAAGTTCTACTTTGGTTTCATCTGACCACATGACATTCTCCCAATCCTCTGCTGTATCATCCATGTGCTCTCTGGCAAACTTCAGACGGGCCTGGACATGCACTGGCTTCAGCAGCGGAACACGTCTGGCACTGTGGGATTTGATTCCCTGCCGTTGTAGTGTGTTACTGATGGTGACCTTTGTTACTTTGGTCCCAGCTCTCTGCAGGTCATTCACCAGGTCCCCCCGTGTGGTTCTGGGATCTTTGCTCACCGTTCTCATGATCATTTTGACCCCACGGGATGAGATCTTGCGTGGAGCCCCAGATCGAGGGAGATTATCAGTGGTCTTGTATGTCTTTCATTTTCTGATGATTGCTCCCACAGTTGATTTTTTCACACCAAGCTGCTTGCCTATTGTAGATTCACTCTTCCCAGTCTGGTGCAGGTCTACAATACTTTTCCTGGTGTCCTTCCAAAGCTCTTTGGTCTTGGCCATGGCGGAGTTTGGAGTCTGACTGTTTGAGGCTGTGGACAGGTGTCTTTTATACAGATGATGAGTTCAAACAGGTGCCATTCATACAGGTAACGAGTGGGGGACAGAAAAGCTTCTTACAGAAGACGTTACAGGTCTGTGAGAGCCAGAGATTTTCCTTGTTTGAGGTGACCAAATACTTATTTTCCACCCTAATTTACGAATAAATTGTTTACAAATCCTACCAGGTGAATTCATGGATTTTTTTTTCACATTCTGTCTCTCACAGTTGAAGTGTACCTCTGGTGCAAATTACTGACCTCTGTCATCATTTTAAGTGGGGGAACTTGCACAATCGGTGGCTGACTAAATACCTTTTTGCCCCACTGTAAATGGAATTCGCATGATAAGGTGGGGCCAGTTTTCACTATGAGCTCACCCGAAACTCTGGCTGATTAGGACCCACACCCAGTTTCACACCTTGGCTCAGGCGATTAGAGGATCATCAGGGGGTCCTTTTGTCCCTCTGCGGGGGGAAACTCCCACTAGGTTTAAATCTGGGACTCTCCACCATTTGACCTTAGAACTGAAGAAGCTTCTCGGATGTGAAGTGAAACGTCTTCAAGCAACTTAAAGAAGTCCAGACGCTTTTCTTTGCAAGCTCCATTGACTAAATAAATGGTGTTGCATATGTTATGCAGTTAAAACACACACCTACTCAATAATTTAAATTAGACTAGATGAAACAGATGGCATCGTCATGGCAAAGATTCAATGAATAATGAGAGCAAAAAGAATGCACCTTTTTTAACACATTGCTGTTTCAGTGGTTTTATACACTGAGAGGATGTTGAAAAAACAACTGTTTGACAAAAATTAAGTCCTTGGAGTTGAGAAGTCATCATCCAAGTAATGAATCAGTTGCAGTTTAACATGTCAGGTGTTTTGTGGACACCTATCTATGCCTCATATGAAAAGCATTATTTTAACCCCTTTGTGGAGCAGATCTTCTGCATCAGACAGCTTCTCTGGTTCTGCTCTGCATTGTGACTAAACAGCCAGTGATTTTTAAAGTGTTAGAAAACCATCAATACCTGCTCATATGAAAACAGCATCATTATACTCAGTGGTTGAAATTTAATTTTAAAGATTACTAAATCTCTATAAAGACAGAGGATATTGAATTTTTTTAGAAGCACCTGCACAGATGTACAATTCACTTCGTTGTAAAAAAAAAAAGAAATATGGTGTTGGATGATGTTTTTCTGTGGTACAAAGCCACAGTGAAATAATAAATTTGTTATTAGGCTAAACATGCTCAGCGTTGTGGGACCTGTATGAGACATTGATGTTATCAGCATTCATAAGCAACAACTTTTTTCCTTGTAGACAAATTGTTGAGACCAATCAAATAACAGGAGATGCTGCAGAACAGGGTTAACAAGAGTGCTGGAAAGCAAAGGCAACCCGAAGCAGAGGTGGGAGTAAAAGCTGAATGTATCTGAACTTATTAAAGTTTAATATTAATAGTTCCTCCAAATATTAGCTTGGCTTTTGTAAGTGGACTGTAATAGAAAGTTACAAAATGGTATTAGCTTGTAATTTTACAAGCTAATACGTTTTGTTTGTTGGTTGGTTCATTTAAATATTCTTCTCTAAGTCATTCCATTCTGAAGAACTGGCAATATCATACTGATGTAGAATTCTTCACATCCACCAAGAAAGTTAAAGGGAGCTCAGAGAAAGAAAAAAAGGTTAAAGATGTGATAGCTGTTGCTCTACATATCACACAGAGTGACTGTCAGGTCTGCTGTTTGAAAGAGGGAAAGGATTTTTCTGCTAAAGGATGTAGCCGGGTTAGTTACTGTTTGCCT